TGAAAATATCTCACAGAAGTGGATAAGCCAGCAGACACTGATGTGTATGCGCAGATACTAGTAAACACACACAGGCTCCGTGCAGTAACTGTAGTTGAACTTGACAAGAATCTAGGCTTCTGCCTTTGTGGTATGATTTCATAAAATTCTCACGAGAAGTCTTGATCAAAAACATAGCTAACCCACTTGCTCACTGAGGCTCAGATTTCTTCAGAGAGATTCCATGCCTCCTTTGGCTGAAGGCATCATTAATGCCCTGTGAAAGGATGTGGAGTGTAGGTAGCCACACATACACACACCCCACACACACACACCCCACACACTCACACTCATACACACACAGCACACACACACACCACACACACACCACACACATACCACATACACACCACACTCCCACACACACTCCCACACACACCATACATACACACCACGCACCAGACACACACACCATACACCACATACACCGCACACACACACCACACACACACAAAATCACACACATTCACACACACATAAAACCAAGCCTGCTACTGTCAACTCGGTTCTGACTCATAATGACCCTGTAGGACAGAATAGAACTGCCCATAGGATTTCCGAGGCTATAATCTTTACGGAAGCAGACTGCCACATCTTTCTCCCACAGAGTTGCTGGTGGGTTTGAACCACCACCCTTTCAGTTAGCAGCTGAGTGCTTAAACTTCACCATCTGCTAGCCAGATTTGTCCATTTTATCTAAATTAGAATATATTTACAATAGTTAAAGTACTTTTCAACTAATACCAACATCTAGGTCAATACACATCTTCTACTGACTTTTTTTTTTCTTTTTCTTCTTGATTATTGGTCACATTTTCTTCCTTCACATTTCTAGTAATTTTTTATTGTAAGCTGAACATCATAGATATGATATAGAGAGTATGGATTATGTTATTCTCCTCTCGAGTGTTGAATTTTGTTCTGAGATGCAGTTAATTTACTCACAGCTCACCTCGATCCTGTTGAGCCTTGGGTGTAATGTTTGTTATGATGGGTCTTTTCAGTTTTGCCCTTGCTCCAAGGGCTTAGTTCATACTTCTAGGTTATGGCTTTTCTGGGGTCTCGTATTTCTACCTGGCTTGTTCCTCAAAGTCTCTGCACTTTTACTAAGTCAGAATCCCATCATCTCCCTAGCACTGTGTATTGTCTTTGATCTCTGTTGAGTTATTAACCCCCTAGTAGCCATTCTCTGCTAGGCCTTGTGGAGTCTTGCCCTGAACATACAAAATTTAGGATGCAACCAGGAACCCAAGGGAGTCCATTATGCAAATGTCTGAAAGTCCTTTTCTGTGGCTTTTCCCCTTCAATAGCTTGTCTCACAAATTCCAGGTGTCTTAGTATTCCTGAACTCTGATAATTCTTTATTTCAGTCACAGAGCCTGTGACAATTTCTTTTCTTTTTCGGCTCTACTTCACTGTGCCTGGTTTTGAAGTTGCCCCCAGAGAGAAAGGTAGGTGAATGTGGTAGACACCTAAGGTTCTTGCCTTGTCTCAAAGAATGAAGCCCTGTGGTGTCTGCTTTCCAAAGCTTGAAAATAGTTGCTATATATATATTTTCCCCAGTGTTGTAGTTGTTTACGGCCAGAGGGCAAGTATCATACCAGCTACTCCATTATACATGGAATCAGAAGTCTGATCACTTTTTTTTTTTATTACTTGTGCTTGGTATTCCAGCCCATCTGATGGTCATGTAGGGTCATGAACAGAGCACTAGGAGATATTTGTAAACTACACACTTAATCTAGATCTGTGACTTTGGGCAAGTCATTTTACTTCTTTGGACCTGTCATGGATTGAATTGTGTCTCCCCAAAATATGTGTCATCTTGTTTAGGCCATGATCCCAAGCATTTTGTGATTGTCCTCCATTTTATGATTGTAATGTTATGTTAAAGAAGATTAGGGTGGGGTTATAACAGCCTTACTAATGTCACATCCCTGATCCAATGTAAATGGAGTTTCCCTGGGTTGTGGCCTGTGCCACCTTTTTTCTTACAAGAGATAAAAGGAAAGGGAAGCGAGCACAGAGTTGGGGATCTCATACCACCAATAAAGCACCAGGAGCAGAGCGCCTCCTTTGACCTGGGTTTCCTGCGCCGAGAAACTCCTAGTCCAGGGGAAGATTGATGAAAAGAACCTTCCTCCAGAGCCCACAGAGAAAGCCTTCCCCTGTAGCTGACACCCTGAGTTTGGACTTCTAGCCTACTAGACTGTGAGGGAATAAACTTCTGTTTGTTAAAATCATCCACTTATGGTATTTCTGTCACAGCAGCACTAGATGACTAAGATAAGACCTTACTCTCTTGGTCTGTAAGATGAAAAGAAATATTAGTCCTGTGGATCCATAGTTTCTGGCACTTGGTTCCCATGAGGAGTTTAAAAGAATACGGCTACAATATCTCACCCCTAAAAGTTCTGATTCAAAAAGTCAGGGTGGAGCCCAGAATTTCTTTTTAACAAACACACTAGTTAATTGTTATGACTAGTCAAGTTTGGGGAAACACTGGATTAGATTATTTCCTGGGTCTTTTGAGGTCTAAAATTTTATGAGTTTGTGGGTTTAGTGTCAGAGAAAATAAGCAAGTGTCTGAGAGATTAAGATATGGGATAGACAATTTTTGTCAAGGCAGAAGTTGGGGGTGAGAAGTAGAGGACAGAAAGAGACAAAAGCAAACCAAAGAAGAACAAATTTGTGTGTGGTATTTTGCTGGGAAGCTGATCTACTGGGATTCAATTTGTGAGCTTTGAGTAGCTTGAAAGCCAGTTGAGAGAAGTGTTCAAGAAATGCGGGTGGGAGGCAGGGACTGTCAAGGGAAATTTTTGACTAATTAGTTATTTAGAGAAAGGCTAGTCTTGGTGGAGGTTGAGAGCGGTCACTCAGTAGGGATTCTTTTTAACCATCAAATTTACACTCCATGAGAATATAGGAGAGAAGAATCAGAGAAGTCTGTTTTCTTGTCAGAGATAGGGATAGTGCAATCAATTCCTGGAGTGACTTTAACTGTGAATACATTATTGAATAAGCTCTTCTAAATTACAATAGCCCCTTGGACTTACCATTTCTGGTTCTAAGCACTTCTTTTTATACAAGTCAATGCATATTTATTTTTATTTTCCAAGAGACTTTTAGATCCCAGAAGGCAAGGACCCTGCTTTATGGGTTCAGTAGCTCTCATCAGGAGGTAGTTTAGTCTGGCGGTGAAGAATAAGGGACTTCAAGTCAGACGGGCCTAGGCGTGAGTGTGGACTCTGAAACATATTGTCTGTCTGAGTCCTTTACCTGGATATCATTATTGTGAGGAATAAATAAGATTACATTTGTATCGTGCTTTTGGATCATGGTGCCAGGGATCACTATAAGGGTACAGTATTGTTCACTCGAAATGGTAATGATAATTATGTTTTTCACAATAATTTCTTTTTTTAATAGTGCTGAATAGATGTAAGTTGAATGAAAGCATTAAGTCTATATAAATCAAATGAAACAATATCAAGGGTATAAAGAAACATTTCTTCTTCCTTAGGAAAGGTAATCTCTGAGGTAATGATCCTTAGAGAGTCTCTGTCTTAATAATCAGTTCATCAGAATTTGTAATTCAAAACAAAGCTTAAATCACCTGTTATCCACTGGTTAGGGGAAGATGCTCTTTTCTCCCTGGAAGCTAGAGAGAAGCCTTTGGGTAAATAAGCAATTAGAAATCATGTTCTTCAGTGCAGAAAGAGTTACAAGATAAATGACAGGTGCTTATCGTTTGATCAGAACTGGGAGCAGAGTGTTGTGATGTCAAAGCTGTCATCTATTCACTAGGGCCATTTCCCTTCCCAGAACAATTGTGGCTAAGGGACAGCAGAGTATAGCATTGTGGCTCTGAACTAAAGAAAGACAAGTGCCTGCGTGAACTGATCTGTCAGGTAACAGCACAAACCATGGGAGTCCGACATCCTGAGTTCACCTTCTGGTTGCAACTCAGTAGTTTTGTGAGTTTGGGCCAGTTATGTAATCTCAGTGAAATGGGAATAATAATATTGTCACATAGCATTTAGAGGAGATCTCATAGTAATTGCTAAATAAGTGTTAGCTTTAAAAGAGTATTATTAAGCCTACAGCCTCTCGAGCTCAGAGTTCTGGGGAAAACAAAGGAGCACATTTAGTAATTTATTCATAGTTAAATTCACTCCAGGAATTAATTGCACTACTCCTAGCTCCGACAAGAAAGGAGACTTCTCTGATTCCTCTCCCCTATATTTTCGTGGAGCCCTGGTGATGTGTTGGTTATAGAGCTATGGCTGCTAACCAAAAGTTTGGCAGTTCAAATCCATCAGCTGTTCCTTGGAAACCCTATGGGGCAGTTCTACTCTATATTATAGGGTCGCTATGAGTTGGAATCAACATGATGGCCATGAGTTTTTTTTTTTTTTTAGTATTCTCATGGAACGTAAATGTAATGGTAACAAAGAATCCCTATGGGTAAGTACTCTCAGACTCTGTCAAGACCAGCCTTTCTCTAAATTACTAACTAGTCATCTTGCTCTGTCAAGCCTGATCCAGAAGTGAAGCTCTGATGAGAATCACAGTGACTTCTGCCTGTCAGGAGTCTCTTCATAGAAGAGGACCAGGTTTCAGCAACTGAAGCAGAGACACAAGAGGGAGGGACATAGAAAAGGTACTGACTTAAAGTGCTGAAGTTCATTCAGCTTGTTTTTGCCACCTCTCTCCCCAGCAGCACCAGCTCTCACTCTGGTGTCAAAGTTTAGCCTCACATTGTACTCTTGACAGTTAAAGTCATTTGGGTGCTGTAAGACAGATCCATAGCAAACAGTAAAGACTTTTCTATCGTAGTTTTAGTCTCTCTCTGGATCCCATTCCCAAGAAGGCAGGAGGTGGGGGCAGATACGGGGAGGGTAGTGATGATGTTTTTTTCCCTCTAAGTGGTTCTTTTCTATTAGTCCTGCAGAGTCCTCTGGAGGAGAATGGCAACCAAGAACTCTTCTGTGACAGAGTTTATCCTCGCAGGCTTAACGAACCAGCCAGGACTCCAGATTCCTCTGTTTTTCCTATTTCTCTGCTTCTATGTGGTCACTGTGGTGGGGAACCTGGGCTTGATTACTCTGATCGGGCTGAACTCTCACCTGCACACACCCATGTACTTTTTTCTCTTTAACCTCTCTTTAATAGATTTGTGTTACTCCACTACCATCACCCCCAAAATGCTAATGAGTTTTGTCTCAAAGAAGAACATCATCTTGCACACAGGTTGTATGACTCAACTCTTTTTCTTCTGCTTCTTTGTTGTTTCTGAGTGCTTCATTCTGTCAGCGATGGCATATGACCGCTATGTTGCCATCTGTAAACCACTGTTGTACACAGTCACCATGTCTCCTCAGGTCTGTTTTCTCCTCTTGCTAGGTGTCTATCTGACGGGGTTTTCAGGGGCCATGGCCCATATGGGAAGCATTGTGAGTCTGACCTTCTGTGCTGACAACCTTGTCAATCATTTCATGTGTGACATCCTTCCTCTCCTTGAGCTCTCCTGCAACAGCACCTATGTGAATGAGCTGGTGGTATATATTGTAGCCATTGGCGTCGGAATGCCTGTTGTCACTATCTTCATCTCTTATGGTCTAATACTCTCTAACATTCTCTATATTCGCTCCACTGAGGGCAGGTCCAAGGCCTTTAGTACCTGCAGCTCCCACATAATTGTGGTTTCTCTTTTCTTTGGTTCTGGGTCTTTCATGTATCTAAAACCACCTTCCATTTTGCCTCTTGACCAAGGGAAAGTGTTCTCTCTGTTCTATACCATTGTGTTGCCTATGTTAAACCCATTAATCTACAGCTTGAGGAATAAGGATGTCAAAGTTGCCCTGAGGAAAACTTTGAGAAGAAAAAGATTTTTTTGAGAAAGGAGCAGTATTTGAAGGAGATATAATTCTTTGCTTATTAGTGTGTGTGTTTTCAATGAGGGGTCTAAGCTCCAGTGTTTTCTCTCCTAAACACAAATAGAATTTTAAGTCTTTATGTTTACTTGAGTGTTTAGTGCAGACCTAGTTTTCCTACCTCTCACCCCACCTTGATTATTCCAAGCATTCTTTAACTTATGCTGATTGTATCTAAAATCAAAGATTGTTTAATCTTGAATAGGGTGTACAAATCATTTACTCTGGCCTTCTCATTTAACAGATCACACACTGGAGACTCAGAAATATTGCATATGTTGCCCAAGGACACACAACTGCTTGGGGCCACAACTGGCACTGGACTCTGGGCCCTTGAATTGCAGTCTACTTTGTTTTCATTTATTCCATGTTTTCTTGTTCCATTGCTGCTCTTAGAGATTTCATTTTAAAAGCATTATACCTTAACACCTTAAAATCTGATTCCATTTATAATAATTTCATGTAATGCCTCAAAAAAAGTTTTTTTGAATATTACATTTTTTTTTCAAACAGGTGGGAGGTGAAAATTGTTCTTATGTTGATCTTGGCCAAATGACAAGAGAAGTGTGTGAAGACTGGGGTATGTGGGAGGCTAGTATATTAGGTTCCAGACAGCAGCAAGCATGGTCATTCCTGAGGTTGTGTGTGGAATCCTAGGAGCCCAATCTAATGTAGGTTTTTTTTGAAAGTAGGTTTTTTTGAAAATCATTAATATATTAAGTGCTGGGGAGACACTTTAACTCAAGAGCTATTTCTTTGGAAAAGTACCCTTATAGGTTTAAGGGGTCTAAAGATGATGAGTGGAAAGTCATATATAGTTCAAGACTAAGAGAGTCAGAATTTGAGCTTTTTCTTAAGGGTTAGTTTGAGTGTTTGAGCTATGATTAAGAAATTTGTGGCTCAAGATAATCAAGTAAGGGTCTGGAGGCTCTAACCCATTGCTGTCAAGTTGATTCTGCCATATAGGGTTTCCAAGTGGTGGCTGGTGGATTCAAACTGCCAAAGTTTTGGTTAAGAGTTATGGCTCTTAACCACTGTGCCACCAGGCCTCTCTTTAGGAGCAGTAATTAATTTTTGGGATCTGGTTACTTATTGGAGCCTTGGTGGTGCAGTGACTAAGTGTTGGGCTACTAGCGAAAAGGTGGGCAGTTCAAATTCACCAGGTGCTCCTTGGAAACCCTATGGGGCAGTTCTACTCTGTCCTATAGCGTCACTATGGGTTGGAATTGACTCAACGGCTATGGGTTTGGGCTTTTTGTTTTAATTAGTTATTGGGGTCCCTGCATGGCACAGTTAACATGCTCAGCTGCTTACTGAAACGTTGTAGGTTCAATTCTACCCAGAGGTACCTCAGAAAAAAGGCCTGGGGATCTACTTCCTAAAAAGCAGCCATCTCAAACCCTTTGGAGCACAGTTCTACTCTGATACACACAGAGTCACCATGAGTTGGAATTTATGACAACTGGTTTGGTTTAGTTAGTTATCAGGGCAGCACTAAGAAAAAGAGGCAATTTCCATTGATTAGTAAGGCACTACTCATAGCACTTCTCACATCAGCATATGTGGAAAGAAAGAATTCATCTCAGGGCTATTTTGTAATTCCACAGCATTGTGTAAAGAGAAGTGCAGCTTTATAGAATATACTGGAACACTTTGATCTGAAAGATTTATTAGTAGTAAATTTTTTTTTTTTTTAAAATCACTAATATATTACTTGCTGGGGAGACAATTTGACTTAAGTGCTATTCCTTTGGAAAGTTATCTTCTTTTGGGAAAATGGGAGGTTTGGATGAGTGTTCAGTTTTGCCCTTTGCTATGACAGAGATCATAAGACTAAGAGTGTTGGGGGAAGGTTTGGCTTTCGTCCTCATGGAATGGTAAAAGAGAACTGATTTCAGAGACCTGTGGGGTGAGTGTCAGGTGAGTGAGGTGAATACACAGTATAAGGTAGGTAGTAAACAGTGACTTGCAAGGCACATAAGCTTTGCATTCTGACTCAGTAGCTTAGTAGTTGTGTGACTTTGGACAAATTACTTAATGTCTCTGAATCCTAATTTCTTAATTTTTAAAAGTGAGAAAACATTCCTGACCTCGTGGGGTTTTTGGGAATATCAAGTGTGAGGTACTCAACAAATCCTAGTTCTCTCCCTCCTGGAATTCCTTCATCTAGTTATCAGCACTTCCTCTCACTTTTGCATGACCTTCAGCAAATTATTTCATCTTCCTGGGACTCTTGCTTAGTCATGAGAAAATTGGGCTTATTTCTATCTTTATTTGATGTTATAAATATATTTTGACCAATTCTTGTACCTGTTAAAAAAATAAACAGTATAGGTCAGGTTATGTAATGAAAACATGTCTTCCTCCCATCTAGTCATTCCATTCCTAAATTCTCCTCCCTAGAAGCAATGGTTGTTGCCAATTGCTTATGAATCCTCCAGAGATTGTATATGCATATTCAATCAAATATCTCTCTGTCTATACTTCATATGTATATCTAGCGCCCCTGTTTTAAAGTTGTAGAAAAGGGCATTTAAGAATGATTTTTTTAGAAGAGGATGGAACAGAGAACATTGCAGTGCCTTTGATGGTTATGAGGGAGGGGAGTGAAAAACACTAAATTGGCAATAGATAAGTGGTAACTTTGGTGAAGGGTAAGACAGTACACAATACTGGGGAAGCCAGCACAACTTGTCCAAGGCAAGGTCATGGTGTTCCTCAAACACGTTCAAACTCACTGAGTGACTGAATTACTGGGCTGAGGGTTTTGGGCACCATGGTCTCTGGGAACATCTAGCTCAATTGGCATGACGTAGTTTATAAAGAAAATATTCTACATTCTACTTTGGTGAATAGTGTCTGGGATCTTAAAAGCTTGTGAGTGGCTGTCTAGGATACTCCATTGGTCTCACCCCATCTGGAGCAAGGGAGAATGAAGAAAATCAAAGACACAAGGGAAAGATTATTCCAAAGGACTAATGGACCACAACCACCACAGCCTCCCCCAGGCTGAGTCCCGTACAACTAGATGGTACAGCTACAACCACCGACTGCTCTGACAGGGATCATAGTAGGGGGTCCCAGACAGACCTGGAGAAAAATGTAGAACAAAATTCTAACTAAAAGAAAAAACAAACAAACAATAGAGATCAGTCTTCCTGGTCTGACAGAGACTGGAGAAACCCTGAGAGAATGGCCCCCAGACACCCTTATAGCTCAGTAATGAAGTCAATCCTGAGGTTAACCGTTCAGCCAAAGATTAGACATGCCCAGAATACAAAAGGAGACTAAATGGACACAACAGCCCAGCAGCAAGGGCGAGAAGTTAGGAGGGGACAGGAAAGCTGTTAATGGGGAAACCAAGGTCGAGAAGGGGAGAGTGTTGACATGTTGTAGGGTCGACAAACAATGTCACAAAGAAATATGTGTACTAATTGTTTAATGAGAAACTAGTTTGCTCTGTAAACCTTCATCTAAAGTACAATAAAAAAAAAAAAAAAAGAAGAGAAACCAATCACAGAAGAGGTATGGGACAGAAGAGGGAGAGTGAGGCATCCTTGGCCTTGGATGCATCACTATAGGTCCCAACCCTGTAGACACAGAGTGACATTTTGGTCTCCTTATCTGTCCTCACCCTGTGGATGTAGCACCTCTACTTCTGTTTGGTTCATGCTGTGGTGAGGTCAGAGTCCTTGATAGCTGAGAGCACCAGGATGGCAAGTATTTTCATTCCAGCAAATGCTTCTATGCATGTTTCTCTATTTGAACACATGGTCTTTTCTTTTTTTGATTCTTGAAGGAACTCATATTTATTGTTGCAAATTGGGAATGTGAAAAACATATGAAAAAACAGATACTAGGCCTCAGTGTGGTAGTTTGCATTTTTGGTCCCAATTCTTCCTTCCTCTAGTAGTATTATGTATCCATGCCTTTGCCATGGTCTCATAGAAGCAGCATATATTTCTCTGCCCCACTGATATTGAGCTCAGCAATGTGACCCATTTGGCCAATGGGATATTAGCAGATGTGATGTAAGCAGGGACTTGGAATGTGTTTGCATAGTGGGGCTTGCCCTCGTGTGCTTCTGACATTGCCTGGAGAAGTGCTTCTCTTTCATAACTGTTTTCCCTCCCAAATGATTCTCACAATGAACACATGTGGAGCAGATGCTGAAGCAGAGCACTCACCCATGCTCGGACAAGATGAGCCCCCACAATATCTTGTAGACATATGAGGAACAAGTACTCGTTATTGTATGCTGATGGGATTTTGTGGTTGTTATATAGCAATAGCTAAGTGATACACTCCACCATTCAGAGATTAGGGAAGGAGCGTCTCATCTGGCGATTTTCTTTCATTGGGATCGTACTCAATACACCATGTTATAAAAGGTTGTTTAGCTTGTCGTTACAATGTGAGCTCTATTCTTTGCCAATAAATAGATTTTGAATTATATTTTTTCATGGATGTTATCATGCAGCTACATCATACATATATTTTTAATTTTATTGTGCTTTAGGTGAAAGTTTACAGCTGAAGTTAATTTCTCATTCAAAAATTTACACACATATTATTTTATGACATTGGTTGCAATCCCCACAGTGTGACAGCATGCTCCTCGTTTCCACCCTGGGTTCCCTGTGTCCATTCGTCCAGTTCCTGTCCCTTCCTGCCTTCTCGTCTTGCTTTTGGGCAAGGGTTGTCCATTTGGTCTCATATATTTGATTGAACTAAGAAGCATGGTCCTCACGTATATTACTGTTTATTTCATAAGCCTGTCTAATCTTAATCTGAAAAGAGGGCTTCAGGAGTGGTTTCAGTTCTGGGTTAGCAGAGTGTCTGGGGGCCATTGTTTCAAGGGTTCCTTTAGTCTCTGTCAGACCAGTAAGTCTGGTCTTTTTTGTAAACTTGAATGTTGTTCTACATTTTTCTCCTGCTCTGTCTGGGACTCTCTGTTGTGATCCCTGTCAGAGTGGTCTGTGGTGGTAGCTGGGC